GTTTTAATCAGGAAGCGTCAGCACATTAAAATCAAAGCTTTACTCTGAGAAGATCGTACTTTCAATGAAACCAGAGTTGTTCATAGGCACAAGATACAGCTCGGAGCAAAATGGCAAGATCATCACAGCACTTCCTCCCCTTAGGGAAGACACATGTTCCAGTCCTACTCAGGCAGACCTTCAGTGTGGCTTGGTGCCCAAACCACTGACTTACAGGATACTCTTGTGGAGCTCCTACACCCTTCATAAATAAATGCATATTCACTGGAATCTTCCTTAAGGCAGGGGAATGCTCTATACCATTAACCACTAACATCAGTGCCTCTAATCTGCAATCCACTCTAATCACCTGCCACGGAACTTCACTAAATCAAGTCATTGACTCCAGTATTTCCAATTACAGTTAAAATAATTTTCAAGAGCAAAAATTCACCAGGTTGTTGTAATAGTTCACAAAGTTTACTGTCCTGTTATCACGACTACATTTCTATTTGGATCTTTAATTTCAGACAGTGTGATCTGTAGCACAAGAGGCTCTTACTCATCCATTTAATGTGATTGAAATTATACTAGAAAAAAATCTGAGTCAGTAACCAGATATCTTGATACATGGAATTTGTAATGTAAAAAATAGTACGTTCTTAATCTTTAAAAAAGTGACGACCTGACCTTGTTATTTTAGTAAACTTTAAAAATTGCCCATTTGTGAGTGCATTGTTTTCTTGGTGGCTAATCCACAAAATCAAGCAATGCTCTGATTCATTCTGCTACACCATTTTCCATCACAGTAAGTTTGGTCTATCAAGTTGATCCTATCAGCCAGGCCTTTGGGGAGAGGGACTGGGGGGAGTAGAGATACCTATCTTTAGCACCACCACCACCACCGGTGCTTTGCATTGTTTTAGTGATAGACTTCAGCTTGACCTCTGAGGAGATGGTCTTCAACCTCTAGACCAAATTTAAACCAGTGGAGTTTGAAGTTATATGCTGATGGGAAGGTATGAAAGTGCAAGGTGAAATAATTTCCTCCAACAGTCAGGAGGACTGGGTCATACCAAGATAATCAGCAAACAGATGGGCATAAGCTACTGAAGGTACAGAAATGTACGTGAAGGCACATAACATAGAAATGTGAATTTTTGCTGTTTAAAATGTGGTTTCTCAAAAAGCATAACAGACTGCAGACTGGAACAACACAGGACACCAGAAGAGAAGTACAGCATGTGAAGAGCATAAGAAAGAAAACAAAGGAGAGGGACTATGAAGGAGCTACCCTTGATGCACACACTAGTAAGGCAAAACTGAGCACAGACACAAAAGTGGGTAGTCTGTCACTGAAGGCTCACAGGTCCTCCTCTGCCTCAATTAGTCCTTGCTAATGGTGGTGGTCCTACTACCACTCTGCTCACCTCTCCCTCCTTCTGATTAAAGCACTCACCACTATTATCGAAACATTAGGCAAAGAGGGAGGTAAGCATGGATAGGGATACAGAAATGCTGCTACAGTTATTCCAGTCTCTCTTCTGGTCAACTGCCAATCTGAGCATGATTTAGGCACAGATGCAAGAGGAGAAAAACAGTCAATAGCACCTCACCTCAAAGGAAGGATAAGAGATAAAGGACACTGAAGCATGAAAGAGCTAACAAAATCCAGCTCTCCAGACCTTTAACTCCCTTAGCAGCAAACAGGCCACCTTCTAGGCTTTAGCTGATACTAGCTTATGTTTTGCTACGCTTCAACAATTCCAATCTGGCTCCTGTCCCTTGACACAGAATCTAAAAATTCACACTCCAAACAGCAATTGCTGTAATAATAACAATACTTATACTTCATTATTTAACCTCATGCTATTTGTTCATGAGGATTAGTGCTTAATTAATTAACAACACTTAGTATTTCCACTTAGCACTTTACCTCTTCAAAGCCTCATACAGACAATATCTAATTAAGGACAGATCTCTGCAGACACTTCACATCAGGACTTCCCTTTGACAGTTCTGCATCCAAGACTTGCTCACACACTGTAGCATGAATTAAAGTTGAAAGCCCTATTGACTTTATCAGGATCGAGGTAATGCCCTGGACTATCAAGTGACTATCTTGTTATATTCCTTTTCTTTCCTGTTGCTTCTCGTTGCTTACTATTCACTCGGGGATCTAATTATTGGCTAATGTGATGGGTGATAATGTGAACCTTGTATTAGTGTTATCTACAAAATCTTCATTCTTCCGTTAGAGAAATCCTTATTCTCAGACACCTGGTTGAACTGCCTTTGGATAGAAAACGTGTTAACCACAAAAACAGGTTATAAAATGTCAAGCCAGAGTTTTTAAGGGAGATGATGCTTTCAATACATCAGTCAAATACCCGCTATGGAAGTGCCTTTCTTGTAAGCACCCCAGGGTGCTACACAACATCGATAGACAATATAAACACAGAGCTTTTACGGTTCACTTTACAATTGGACATTGACTCTCAATCTGTGTAACAGAAAGGAATTGAGCTTCATGACCAAAGAGGATAATGTGCACAGGATTAAGTAGACAACTCTACTAGAAGCAGGAAAGCAATATGGCATTGGATGCTAAGATAGAGATCAAATTTACACATAGGAAGCCAAAGGAATAAACCAATTCTGAGTAAACTCTCATAAACTAGCAGTAGCACTCAATGCTTCATATCATTCCACTATTTTTTTTCAGAATCAAACATGCCGATAGGTTTATTCAAAGCCCACTGACCAGGCTCTCACTATGGGAACTGAACAAAGACAGCCCTAAATATGTAATAGCTCCAGCCAAGAGAATTATCCAGACAGTATGGAAAGAAACTTCTGCTGGAGTCAAATTGGAAGAAAAATAAAACATTCATTACAGTTCCAGAACTTGCCCAGTGTCTCAGAGGGTGCCTTCACAGGGCAGTGGCTGGCAGTGCAGCAGCCTGGGGCTGCTGCTGCTCAGACCTGCTCCAATACAGCAAAGCGGCTTCCAGGTCTAAGTGGTGCTGTGGTGTGTCACATGCACGTCACAGCTCACATCAGCTTCTCAGGAAGCTGGTCTTGCCAGATGAGCCACAGCTTGATAGATATTAGAAATTTAAATGGTTTGGTTCTTTGAAAACTGACTGTATTGAACAGAATCTGACCTAACCATTTTGGCACTGAATTCTTCCACAAGGATAACTGTGTACTGCTAACTGCAGTGTCTTTGTGCCCAAAATATGCTGTGTTAGTGTTACTGCTAACTCATAAAATCCCAGGAGTTTAAAACAGAAAACAGGCCTTATTATCCCTTAATATAATTTCAATTAAGCTGCAGATAGATGACACCCATATTCAGCCTCAAGCTGGGGATCAGATACTCATCCTAGACTTTTCTGGACATGTATGTTTGGAATTCAGTACCTGCCTTTCATCTTCCCCTTAGTCCCCACAAATTCTTTTCCTCTTACTCAGCTTCAACTTCAACCCTCCAATATTCCCTTGTCACCAGTTACCACTGTTCAGGAGTCCCTTATCTCAGACACCAAACAGCCTAGCCAGCCCCAGCCAGCTAACACCTAAGCTCTCCATGACTTGGTTATCCTGCTGCCCTTTCTAATGTTTACCACCTAGGACTCATCCCAGACCCATTCCAGCTTGCCTATGACTTCCCCCCTGGACCACTTCTGAATTGGTTGAGGCTGGGTCCACTTATGTATAGGTTACATACAAATTAGGTAATCATGCACCTTTTTTGTGGTGAGTTTGCTAAAATGTAACACTGAAGACAAAACTGTCAGCTGTGGTCACTGTTGCTCAGGAAAAGATACCTGTTAATTAGCATGCACATTGGCTATTCACAAATGTGTTGTGAAGCTACTATGGAAGCTGATTCAAGTTATATCTAGGTAACTGTGCTTCTGTTTCCAGCACAAGGCTGTCACATGAGCCCTTCTGATCACTTTTGTATTTATATTTGCTGTGCATCTGTCCTAGCAACTCCAAGCCCTGATGTCTTGGAGGAACACATGCTGAGATACTTCCTGACTGGGGTCAGCCTCCAGTACTGGAACTCTGCTGGGTGCAGCTCAAGATGTGAACCAAATGCAGGCGTAAAAACATGGTTAAGACAAAAGCCTGGCATTTGGAAGGCAGTTCTCTACTCTGGTGTATGATAAAAATAACTGTTTAAATTACATAATTACATAATTAGGAATTTATCTCTCATTCTTCTGTTTTACTCACCCTGTACAATGAAAAAGGTTGGTCTGTTTAGTCTGTCCCACAGTTTCCACTCAGGCTGTCATTACCCTATATTCATACAGTTCTATGGGGTGTTGGGGTTTCAAAGCTTCACAGGACCGTGTATTTATTTCTGCCGTTCATCATGCTTACCCTATAAGAGGTCATGGGGACACATCCACAGAGTAGTCAGCAACAGATCCATGGTGGTCATGAATTTAAGTTCCAGCATGTATTTCCTGCCTGCTTCCAGCCATCAGTGTCTAATATCATTGGGACGATTTACACCTTTTTGGCTATCAGAGCCTTCTACAGCAATGAATTTCATGAGTGATATTGATTGCATTTAGTCGTATGTGTGCTTCCCCTGTTGCTTCATCAGAAGAAAGTGTTCCTGCTGCTGCACCACCATGGTGCATAGTATTAGCCTTGCAATTTAGCCTGCACAGGGAGTGCTGGGTAGATTGTTTGATGACTTGCAGTACAAGACATCCTAATCTCCTTGCCTAGTAAAATTGCCCAGCACTAGGGTTAATACTGAAGTGCAGGCCAGCTGAAGCTACCTTTAAAGAGCAGGGTATGCTCCAGGGTGAATATGGTTGACATACTTACATTAGGTATATATTTTACTTACAACTTTATCACTACACCTACTCTAAGCACAGCTTTTCAATTAATTGATTCTTAGGACTTGATATAGATAATATTGAAATATTTTTGACGACAGTACTTTCACAAGTAGCATTACCCATCCCACCCCAGCTTGTATTTCTCACCTTTGTGGTCCATAACTTGACTGTCCAGTCAAATGATGATGTGACAAAGAGATGAGAAAAGTCAATTGGACCCACTGCCATGTGACAATTGATGCCTGTGACAGGTCCTTGGTGGCCTTCAAAAATTTCACCAATGCCAGCTTTACTGCAGGAAGAAGAGACATTTGCATTCAGAGACTGATTTGACATCTGGTGATTTAACATCATTTTTCATTACTCTTAGGTTCCTGTTTCCTTTTAAAGTTCCATTTAATCTGTAAATCTCTGCCCTTTCAGTAGGGCCTTTGCCTGCAGAGGTTTACTGCTGTGGGCACAATTAATGCTCAGGATCCAGCACAGGGAGACTTTCTCTTACTTCTGAAGACTTGCCTTACTGACTTTTACATACACAGTCTACCACTGTAGCTTGAAATAACATTTAAGTATAATTATAAAATAATTCTAAATTATAGTTATACTATAGTTTATGCCTCTGAGTAAGCCATTATCACAGGGAGTAACCATCAAAATAAAAATGCAAATATGTTAATGACTTATCATGAGCAATTCTTTTACTCTTAAATATCTAAAATAACTTTCCACAACAGTCAATCAAGTCACTAGGCAGCAAATCCTTTTTCACAAAAAGTGAAGGAACTGTTCCTGTGATCACGTATCATACAGTCGTTACTTTTAACATGGAGAGATGTGCATTTCATCGGCCTGAGGCTAGAATAGCTATTAGGAAGGAAAAATACAACACTCTGTAAGACAGAATGCGCAGTTTTCTTCTTCCTGGAAGCAAATGACACCATATCAGTTGTCAGTGCTGTCTCACAGTGTATACAGAAAGGGGAATAATGAAATTACCCTTTCACTTACAGTATAGAAAAATTGCCAGTGGAAGAAAAGACATTAAAAATAGCCACAGCTCTAAGAAGGCTGCCAGCCCTGTGCCAGTGAACACCGTGTAACCAAAGAGATGACAAGCTGCACAGGAGGAAACTGGTTCCGCATATTGCTAGTGTGGTGTCCCCTCACCTCTCCTGTTGACCATGACTGTGGCCTCACTTAGGCTCCCCTGCCAGACCCTGCAGCATGTGCTGGAGGAGGGGCTGAGTTCTGCAGTGCCTCTGCAGTGCTGGCTACAAAGCACACCTCTTATTTTATTCCCATCTGTCTGCCATGTAGTTGGTGGGATAAGGGGAGTTCTGGAGCACGAAGAACACCTTGTGTACCTGCTGTGCTGGGCTGAAGGACACAGGAGACCCTGGAAATAAAATGGGGATGACAGCAAAAAGCTCTAGGAAAGACAGGCAGGAGCAGAAAAGGAGTGCATTTGTCAATGGTTTGCTAAAAAGGTGGGCTAACAAGAGAACCTGGCACCTGCCTCCTCTTGTGAGGAACAAACCAGGCATGTCTGAAAGATCAGAAGTGAGAAATGCCCTTGGGCATGCTTCATTTATTCTAGCAGCCTAAGACTAATTCAAACCATCAGCCACCACACAGCCTATCGGTATAATGCCGAAATAGACACAGTTCCGCAACACTCTCAGTGGTTAGGCTAAAATAAAAATATTTTAAAATAAAAATTATATTGAACAAAATATATTTAAACAGTATTTTTACAACATTAGAAATGTGTAATAGAAGCCTTACTACCTTAAACCAGCTATTTGGTCAACAGAAACACAGAATATGATAAAATAGGAATTCAGAGAATATTGCAAACTATTGAAGTGTGGGGGAGAGCTTTAAATCTGTCAGTGAAAAAAGGTCGTTTTTCATAAAAGCCTTTCAAGCATCCCAGAGGATGAAACTACTACCAGAAGCTAACAAAGCATGCTAGCATCCTGCAGATTTACAGGGTGAAAAATAAGGAACTTGCAGTATTAAACTACAGCCTGGATTATGGAAGGAAGGGATTTGACTCTCTCAGTGTGTGTGAGAGAGCACAGGGTGCCAGTCCTGGGAGCAGGTCATCTGGAGCTGCCGTACCCGCATGGCACACTGCAGCTATGGCTGTGTTAGCAAATAAAGCAGGTGGCAGCCCAGACTGAGGACTGAGAGTCCAAACTGCCCACCAAGAGCAGGGGCCAGCAGGGCTCAGCCTTCAGCCTGGCTGTGCAGACACACAGCGAGTACCTGGCGCTGGATGACTGTGCGTGGGGACGTGCATGCTCTGTTTTTCACACGCATGTGTGCCCATGGTGCCTTTTCTCTACTATATTCCTGTGGAGACTGAAGATGGAGCTGAGGATGGTAAAAAATAAAGCAGATTACCATTGCTTATGAGCAGTTTAGGTCTGATTACCCTGCAACAAAACTGTTTCCTAGGGCCTGATTTGACATGCCCAGACATAGACACGTGCATCTCAGCTAGCTGTCTGGAACTCTGGTGAGGAAGAGGCATTTCTGAGGTGCCAGTCATCTCTTCTTCAAGCAGATGTCAAAAAAATGTGAGGGAAATCAAACCCTAAGAGCAGTCAGTGCTCCTCACTGACTACACGAGGAGCCTGGGGCAACCCCAGTACGAAGGGCTATAGCACAGATGCCCAAAGTCAAGTGTCTCCTGTCCTAGTCATGTGAAGCAGAACAGCACAGACACTGCTCATCCAAGAGAAAAAACCGAAACACTCCACATACACTCTTGGCTGCTTCACGCCAACACAGGTACACAACATTATTTAAGTACAAAATGCTGAACATCACCTTCCATGACGACAGGCTGTGTAGACTGTTCCCTCTTCGCTGCCAACGACAAAGTTATTGACATCTCCAGTTGGGAAAGCCATTCCTGTAACCGCCACTGGTTTGGACTTATTGTACACCAGCTCCATGCTCTCCTACCAAAACAGGTCTTTGTTATTATCCTGTTATCATCCTTTTGTTTGGCTGTTTTTTCTTTTTTTCTTTAATTTCTAAATGTTACACAGGGTAGCAGGAGTAGAAGAAGAAATCATTTGACCCAGCCCCAGGACTTTGGTTTCTTCATAGGATGTTGTGAGAAGATGCAGTGTCACAAACTAGAATGTACTGCTCCTGCCATCTCCACCGCTGTCTGTTACATGTTTGAGAGTGGCTGGAAGGCTCTGGTCTTTGCTATATCATCTTAAATCAGGCAGAGATGACAGGTGAGAATTTAAAATGTAATGGTGCAGAAACTAAAGATAATACCTTAATGGTTACATTTGCCAGCCCCAGGCTCTAATAAAACATGCAATACCCTTCTATTTACAAACATTTTTGAAATAAATTGTTTGTCAGGAAACACATGTGCACCTGAGGCATTTATCAGATTGTGCCATTTGTCCCTTTGTAGAACGAAGTTAAAAAGTTGGGCTACTGTCACTATCACCATTCTAAGCATTGCTTTTCAGGGATTTTCTGAGGTAACCATAAACATCCCCTCTAGACTCCACCATCAAGCTACAAACCAGGAAGCATATTTTCTTTTTTCATTTGGTAGCTATATTTCAAAGTAAATCAGCATGCCCATTTTTGTTATTGCAAGTACAACCAGCATGAACGGTTTCCAGCCATTGCAAGATGTGTACACTTTCAGCAGATTTTGCAGAACCTTTTGGTTGTTCAGCCTAAATGGTGCAACCCAAGAATCCACAAAGGGGCTGAATGATTTAGCAATTTTCATTTTTAGCTATTTAAGTGGATATGTTTTCTGTGTTTAAAATGTCTAAGCTGCTATTCTTCTAGGGTCAAAGCCTGCAGCGTTTTTCTCAGAAGAGCTTTTTACTGTAGCTAAAGAAAGTGGGCATCCCTGTGAGAGGAGAGGGCTGCAAATCCGTAGAGAAATACTTTTGCTTGGTTCATACTTTTCTTTGAAATACATTTGGTTCTACTAAAAAGGCAAAACAAGACCTCAAAAATGCATTGGCAGAGCACCTGTGGACCATACATTTCTATGAAAATCTTCTGGGGTGAGATCATCTCTGTGGAGACACAGCTAAATACTGTGGTTGAGTCCCTCCTCCCAGTGCCTACACCATGGCTGTACACGAGCACTCTGGATCTGTCTTCGTAAAGTTTCAGACTGACACACATCAGCAACACTCTAGTCCTCCCAATTTAAAGCTATGGCATGTAGCTTGATGTCAAGTCCTGTGCCTTTCTTTTCTAGATCACCATAAGCCATGCACCAAACTTCAGCGTAAATGTGGGTTGTGTTCCCATCCTTGTTGAAAGCCAGTTTTGGAGCAGGGAAATTCCTGATGAAGTTCTGGAACTGAGATGTTCACAAATCTCTTCTTCAAAATGTAGTATTCCAGTAAGTAAATACATAAGAATGGGATTTATCTTCTTGATGTTTAAGTGAGAAACTGGGGAAGGGATTCAGGTGCCTAAACATAGTCATCTGGGCCATTTTAGATGCCTTCACTTCTATTCCAGAAGAGTATTGGTTTCTCATAGTCCCAGGACACAACTACCAGAGCCATACTGTTGCCTTCGATGAGCATGAGCAACATGATCCAACACTGAAGTTGGCCCCACTTTGAGTAGGGGGGTAGATGGGATGAATTCCAGAAGCCCCTTCCATCCTAAGATCTGACAGTTCTGTACCCCCGGGTGGGTATCTGAAATGGTATTTCACATTGGGATGAGATGAGTCATCCTACAGAAGTACCCACGTCTCTCTACATTAACTGTAAAGGGAACTCAAATTACTAATGATGTAATGTCATGAGGATGGAGCCAGGCTCTTCTCAGTGATGCCCAACGATAGGACAAGGAGCAATGGGTGTGAGCTGGAACACAGGAGGTTCCGCTTAAACTTGAGAAAAAACTACTTTACAGTGAGGGTGCCAGAGCACTGGAACAGGCTGCCCAGGGAGGTTGTGGAGTCTCCTTCTCTGGAGACATTCAAGACCCGCCTGGACGCCTTCCTGTGTAAAATTGTTTAGGTTCCTGCTCCGGCAGTGGGATTGGACTAGATGATCTTTCGAGGTCCCTTCCAATCCCCAACATTCTGTGATTCTGTGTGATTCTGTGATTCTGTGATACTAGCTCAGACTTGACATGGATCTAACTTTTAGATGGCTAAGGTTAGGATAGAGGACTCCCACCTCTTGTTTCAACACTGACAAGCAAATAATTTGGTAGCAATTGCACATTAATGCATGATTAATGGAAGATTAATGGAATCATTAAGAGGAGTTTCTGCATAACATTTTGAAATAAGATCAGATCCCCTGATGCTTAGTAAAAATTATATATATTTTTTTTTTCTAAGAAATGCTGTATAAAGAATGAGTGATGCGTTGGAATAGAAAATGTACTACTCCAGAAGATAACACTGAAAAGATGCTTTCCATAGACCTTTTTCAGTATCAGATTCTTTGTTTAGTTTCCAATATTATAATCACTAGTGGTTTGGACAATTTTCCT